TGGGTGCAACTGGTTAAGTTTCTTAATCTCTTTAAACCATAGCATTCTCAATTCTAAAATACTGTTACTAAAAATAACCATCCAACAATACTAACATTTATATGAAACCATATAAATAGCCAAAGTAATAGCCAAAGTAATCTGAGGGAAGCAAAAAATAGCCAAAGTAATCTCAGGGAAGAAAAAAAAAATGCTGGAGATACTATACTACCTGTTTTTAAAATTACTACAAAACTATGCTAATCAAAATAGCATCATAGTAGTATAAAAACAGATACACGGACCAATGGAACAGAGAGAGTGTCACAAATAAACCCACACATTTATGGTCAAATGATTTTTGACAAAGGTGCTGAGAGCAAGTAATGGGGAAAGAACCGTCAGTTCAAAAATAGTATTGGGAAAAGCAGATATCCATACGCAGAAGAATGAAACTGGACTCTCATCTCACACCGTGTACAAAAATCAACTCAAAATGGATTAAAGACTAATTTTAAGACCTGATGTAGCAAAACCACTGGAAGAAAACAACAGATTTATGACACATTTTTGGACAGTGATCTTTTGTATATAACCCCAAAGGCACAGGTGACATAAACAAAAGTAGACAAATGGGATCGTATTAAACTAAGAAGATACCACACACCAAAGGAAACAATCAACAAGGTGAAGAGAAAATATTTGCAAATCATAAATTTCATAAGGGGTTAATACCCAAAATCTATAAGGAACAAAAACAACTCAATAGCAGGAAAACAACCCAAGTTAAAAACTAGCAAAGGACTTGAAGAAACATTGATTTAAAGAAGACATATAAGTGGCCAACAGATATATGAAAAGTCACTCAACATTACTAATTATCAGAGCAGTGCAAATTAAAACTACAATGAGATATCACCTCATACCTGTTAGAATGTCTATTATAAAAAAATGATAAGAGTTGGCAAGGATATTGAGAAAGAGATACCCTTGTGCACTTCATAAAAATGTAAATTACTCTAGCTATTATAAAGAACAGTATGCACATTCCAACAGAAAATAAATAAACTACAAATAGAACTATCATATGACCCAGCAATCCCACTACTGGGCATATATCCAAAGAAAATAAAATCAGTATGTCAAAGAGGTGTCTGCACTCCATATTTATTGTAACACTATTCCAATAGCCAAGGAACAGTATCAACCTAAGCTTCCATCAACAGATAAATGGATGAAGAAAATGTGCTATGTATACACAATGGAATTGTATTTAGCATTAAAAAGAAGGAAATCCTGTTATTTGCCACAACCTGGATAAACCTGAAAGATGTTATACTACCTGAAATAAGCCAGGCACAGAAAGACAAATACTGTATGATCTCCCTCATCTGTGAAATCTAAAAAAGTTGATGCATACATATAGAGTAGAATGGTAGTTACCAGAGGCTAGGAGTTGGGAAGGTGGAGGAATAGGGAGATGGAAATTAAAGGGCATAAAGTTGGCTGGGTGTGCTGGCTTATGCCTGTAATCTCAGCAACTTGGGAGGCCGAGATAGGCAGATCATGAGGTCACGAGATCAAGACTACCCTGGCCAACATGGTGAAACTCCATCGCTATGAAAAATACAAAAAGAAAAATTAGCTGGGCGTGGTGGTGCGTGCCTGTAGTCCAAGTTACTCAGGAGGCTGAGGCAGGAGAATCACTTGAACTTGAGAGGTGGAGATTGCAGTGAGCTGAGATTGCGCCACTACACTCCAACTTGGCAACAGAGTGAGACTCCGTCTCAAAAAAAAAAAAAGGCATAAAGTGTCATTTAGACAAAAGGAATGGGTTTTCCAGATCTACTGCATAGCATAGTGGTCACAGTTCATAATAATATATATTATATTTCAAATATATAGGATGTTAAATATTCATCTTGCTGAAAGAATATATTCTGAATGTTCTAACTACAAGAAAATAAGTATATTAATGTATATTAATTAGCTTGATATAATCATTACACAATTTATGTGTATATCTAAACATCACATTGTATCCCATATGTATATACAATTATTGTCAATTTAAAATTTAAACTAAAAATTTTTTAAACAGAAAAAGAAGTAGCTATATTGGATAAAATAAAATATATTACTAAAATTATAAAATTAACTAGCACAGTTTTTGCTATTTGAAGATTTAATGGCATTTTCCATTTAAAGCATTTGGCACAATGTCAATCACAAAGTAACAATTCAATAATTAACAACACAGATTTTTGTTTTTATCGCATTATTGTTAATATTATTTTAAAGTTGAAAGGGTTCCACAAATTTTTTTCAAAAATCTTCAAATATATATCAATGAAGCATTAAGTTATTGGGCACACTTTTTTTTAAATTGAACCATTACAATATCTCTTGAATTGCCATATTCTTTCTGTCTTCAGAGGTACATTTCACTGCATCTTAACCCTTGAATATTATGACAGTTATTTAGTTGGATGCTAGCTTTACTAACAATCAATCAACCCACTCACTATACAACTACCAAAATGATGTTTTTAAAGAATAAGAGTTTGGATATAACTTTGTAGGGTCTTTTTCCCTGCTCTTATCTGCTGAGTACAACTATAATCCCTGGGGGAAGAGAATGCAAAATGAAGCCAAACAATAACTCTAAAAACTAGAAATATGAAGGCAAACTGGTTAGGAACCTCAGGAGTGGAAAAACAATGTAACGACAGAGCATCTTACTATCCTTCACCCAAAAGAAGAAAGCAACCCTGGCCAATGCCTAGGAGGTTCATTCTCTCTTGGATCAAATATGGGTTCTGTCAGCAATACCAGGCAAGTCCAGTACCACTGGTAAAGAGGGTTGATCTGGAGCCATACTAAGAATAAACAGCCAGGGGAAGCATTGTCCTTCCCTGAGATGCTACAGACTACCCCCCCCCTCACTGAGAGTAGCCAAGTGAACCAGTCACAACAAGCTCCTAGACCTTGGAACATGACCTTTGTCCTTACAGGCAAGAAAAGCTTTTTCTTTACCTTGAGCCACTAGGTGATGCAGCAAGGGACAACCCCTCCTGCCCCATTGAGATGGACCAACAAAGACCAGGGGGAGCTTCAACCTCACTGAAAAAATCAAGCAACCAAAAGAGCAAAAAAAAACAAAAAAAAAAAAACAATCTTTGAAACCAAAAAAAAAAAAAAAAAAAAAAAAAAAAAAAGTGGTGTGGAACTACATGTTACAACTATACAGGGAGCTGCCTACTATAATAAAATATTTAAATGTGGCCTAGAATCTTCTAATATAATATCTAAAATGTTCAGGACATAATTAAAAAAGAAAAAATTCTTGACACAGCAAGAACCAGGAATATTTTAACTTGAATGAGATAAGCAATTTAATGTTGCTAACACTTAAGTGAATCAGATGTTGGAATTATACGGCAAGAATTTTAAAGCAGTCATCAAAAATTTTTCTGGAAGCAATTACACATCTCCTTGCAACAACAACAAAAAAGACTTTTTAATCTCAGCAAAGAAATAGAGGTTATGAAAAAGCACCAAATGTAAGTAATAGAACTGAAAGATCTGATAATAAAAATCTAAAGACCTTGCTGGGTAGGTTCAGTAGTAGGCCAGAGATGACAGAGGACAGGATCAGTTAACTTGAAAACCAACAATAGAACTTACACAACTTTCACAACAGAGAGGAAAAAGAGAGAATGAGCACAAGAGAAAGCATGCACAAGAGAGGATGGAAAAATAGGGAAAATAAAACTGCCCCTAGTTGTAGATGTCATGATTGTCTTTGTAGAAAACCCATGCAATCTATAAAAATGCTCCTAGAATGAATAGGTAAGTTGAACATGATTGCTAAATACAAGATCAATACACAAAAATCAATCACATTACTGTATAATACCAAAGAATTTCAGTAGACCAAACTTAAATTATGCTTTTAATTTAAAATGAAAATTAAAAGCATAATACTATTTATAATCAGCCCAATTAAAGTGAAATACTTACTGAGCTGTATATTTACTGAAACATGTCCAAAGCCTATATGTGGAAACTTATTAAATACTGTTGAAAGAAATCAAAGAAAACCTAAGCAAATATAGAAACATAACAGGTTCATAGATTCAAAAATTCAACATTGGAAAAAGATCTCAATTCTCACCAGATTATTCTATGGGTTCAATGAAAATTACTCTCAGTATCGCAGTAAGAATTTGTACAGGCATAGACAAGCTCATTATAAAATATATACAAAAAAACACAGCTCTAGAATAGCTTTTTAAAAAATCTTCATACAGAAGAATAAAATAGAAGAAATTATTTGATATAAAATCTTATTATAAAGTGACAGTAAACAAGGCAGCATGGTATTGACAGAGAGATTATAGATTAATGGAACAGAGTAGAGAACCCAGTACACCTACAGAAATATACATAACTAATTTTTGATAAAGGTACAAAAGCAATTCAAGAGAAAACAGACTCTTTTCAACAAACAGTATTGAAGCAACTGAACATCCATAGGCAAAAAAATAAGCCTTGACCTAAATCTCAAAGTTTATACAAAAATTTATTAAAAATCAATCATAGGTGTTAATGTAAAAGTACAAAACTTTTAGAAAAGATATAGAAGACACTCTTTGGAGTCTAAAGCTAGTGAAGAGTTGTTAGACTTGACATTAAGAGATGATCCATAAATGGCAAAATTGATAACATGGACCCCATCAAAATTTAAATTTTTTGCTTTATGAGAGCTTTTATAAAGAGGATGAAAAGACAAGCTACACAATGGAAGAAAATACTTACAAACCACATGTGTGTAAAAGGGCTGCAATTTACAAGACAGAATGAACTCTCAAAACTCAACAATGGAAAACAATTTAATTAATGGGTGCAAAACATGAACAGACACTTCACCTGAGAGTATGTACAGATGGCATATATGCACATGAAAAGATATTCAATGTCATCAGCCATTAGGGAAATGCAAATTTAAACCACAGTGAGTGCTTGCTTCAGTATCACATATGCTAAAATACTGTGTAAAAGAGATTAGTAAGGCCCCTGCACAAGGATGAAACACAAAGTCGTAAAGCATCCCATATTTTCCATTCCTTTTCTAATGTTTGCAGATAGGAAAACTGAGGCTCCAATAAGCAACGTGACTTTCCCAACTGAGAGTCATTTTAGCTTTAAACTATTTCCAATTCTTCCTCCTCTAATAATCAAAAACCACAATGAGGTATCACTAAGTACTTATCAGAGCAGATATAATTAAAATACTGGTAATGATGTGTGACTACATAGAATTTAATTCTATTTTTTTCTTTTCTTTTTTTTTTTTTTTTTGAGACAGAGTCTCACTCTGTCATCCACACTGGAGTGCAGTGGCACAATCTCGGCTCACTGTAACCTCAGCCTCTCAGGTTCAAGCAATTCTCCTACCTCAGCCTCCCAAGTAGCTGGTATTACAGGAGCCCACCATGCCTGACTAATTTCTGTGTTTTTAGTAGAGACAGGGTTTCCCCATGTTGACGAGGCTGGTCTCGAACTCTTGACCTCAGGTGATCCGTCCACCTCAGCCTCCCAAAGTGCTGGGATTACAGATGTGAGACACTGCACCTGGCCATAATTCTATTTCTACAACATTTTGAAATAATATTTTAGAAATGGAGGAAAAGTTAGTAATTCTCAGAGGTATGGACAGGGGACGGTGATGGGACAGAGGTGTAGGAACAAGATGAATGTGGTTATAAATGGACAACACAAGGGATCTTTGTGATGTTGTTCAGTATCTTGACTGTAGCAGCGTATACACAAACCTGCATAAGTATAGTAAAGTTACATAAAATTAATCACATGGACATACACATATGAGTGCATATAAAACTGGGGAAATTTGAATAACACTGCTACCAGTGTCCATCCCCTAATTGTGATATTATGCTGCAGTTTCTACAGTATGTTACCTGTGGGTGACGGGGAGCCTGCTGGGGAGTCTCAGCCAGCGAGAAGTTCCCAGCCTGGAAGAGGAGTTGCGCAGAAATAAAGAGAGGCAGAAAGATGGGGTCTGGAGGACTAATAGGCAATACCTATGCAGCAAGTTTATTTGTGTCCAGGGTTCCAATATATACCTTTAGATTATAAGGATTGATGTCAGTGTACATTATGTAAGCTATATGATAAGGGGAACAGAAAGTTGCAAAAAACAAATGTCAGCAGAGGGGGTACATAATCACGGGTCATAAAAGGTAAGCAGGTGATGTACTTTATCATTGTTAACAGAACATGTGGTCACAAGGATAACAATCTAGAAGTGTCACAGGCTAAGCCATAAATCTTTATCTGAGTATAGGAATGTCATCTGGTCCTCAAAAGGCTATACTTAACTTGGTAAACAGAGTCATAAAACCCACTCCTCAACAGGAACCGAAAGAGCACACACATCCGTTACCCAGGGTCACTGTAGTCAGAAATAGAGGCTGATGTTATTCTTATTCTCTCCGTTCCTACTTCCCCATAGCAGGAAACTGTCCAGGATCAAGCTCACGCACAGTGAGGCCCAACACTGGGGGGGCTTCATATGGGAGTGTTCCCCACAGTTACCATTGAGGGAAAACATTGTAAAGTGTACATAAGATCTCTCTTTATCATTTCTTACAACTATATATGAATCTAAAATTATATCAAAATTTAAAAGTTAAAATTTACAAATTTTACAGTGGAATACTACTCAGCCTTAAAAAAGGGAAGGAAATCCTGTCATTTGCTACAACAGGAATGAACCTGGAGGACATTCTATTAACTGAAATAAGCCAGAAACAGAATCACACATAGTGTATGGTCTCACTTATATGTGGAAACTAAAAATGTTGATCTCTTAAGAGCAGAGAGTAGAATGGTGGTTACAGGGCTGAGTTGGGGAAGGGAAAAGATGCTGGTCAAAGGGTATGACTTTCTTTTAGAAGAAGTAAGTTAAGGAAATCTATCATAGAATATGGTGAGTACAGTTAATAACAATAATACTGTATTCCTCCAAAATATCTACTATATTTTCCATATATATATTTAAAGAAAATAAGTAATGTATAATAATATACTCATTAGTGAATGATACATTAAAATGTATTTCCATTGAGAGAGAGACATAAAGGTAGAATAATAGTCTTGTCATTAGTAGCTCAGCACTATTTTCATTGGATCTCTGTTATACACAGCAGTTCTCTACCCTTTAATACATCATAAAACATTTAGAAAATGATATTTATGTGCCACATGAAAGTATATGGAGAATTACAGCCTAAGGCAATCAACCAATCTCTTCTAGAAACCTCAATTCCCACCCATTGCAGACTGAAGAGATTACTATGTTAACATACTTGTAATTTTGCATAGCCTTTGAGAAGTTCTCATATAGGCAAAACTTAAGATCTTTTTTTTCACTTTCTGGATGAGAAGCTCTCTAGCATCTGTGGTCTTCCTACAAGTCCAGCTATGCCTTCTTCTATTTTATGCCACATACTGGGAGCTTAAATAATGATTTCTTGTAGTTCAACCCACCAAGCCTCTTGAGTCCTTTCTATGTCTATGCATACTAATTCCTGCCTGGAAGTCTCCTCCTGCCTCATTCATCTAGCACATGCCTTTCCTCTGTCTGCTAATGGGATGATGCAAATCTTTAAAGAGTAAAGTTAAGGTTAAAGTCTATGCTTAAATATAATTTCATTTGTCAGAATTACAAACTTCAAATTTAACAATTTTCTTTCACTGTATTCATCTATTTACGTGATAATATCCTGACTGAACTGTAACACCCTTGGATGAAATAAATACATATTTTTAATCTTTTTTATTAGGATTTGTAAGATATAATGGATAGTCAACACATATTTGTTGAATAAATTTTCTAAATGCTTAGAAGGTATTACTAAAGTTGTATCTATCCCAGAAGAATAACATGTTTATAATATTTTTGTGTAATATGTAGACCTCTTAATTACTGAATGAAAATTATAAATTGTCTCTCCAGAAAAAAATGCTTTCGTATAAAATTTGCACACAATTTCCCCATTGACAGATTCCCCATTTTACTACCTAATGGGCAACTGACTGCTCAGGACTATACAAAAAAGATCTCTGAAAATGGAAACTGATTTTCAGTCTGTTGGACAAACGACTAGTATGATTTGATATTTACAGATATTTTTACCATGTACTAGTGATCAAACAGAATATACTAATTCTTTCAGAATTTAGTGGTTGTTTTGCACTTAATAAATGAAGATAACATTGTACCAAATTATGCATTATGCATTGAGGAAAAAGAAGTCAACCAATATCCAATAAAATTAAAAATGAATTCTCCCCTCACATATAGTTTCCTGTATTATTAACATTTAGTATGAGTGTAGTACATTTGGTACAACTGATGGGCCAGTACTGATAGTAGTTATTAACAAAATCCATAGTTTATATTAGAGTTCACTCTGTGTTGTACACTCATGGGTTTTGGCAAATGTATAACACATAGTCACCATTACAGTATTATACAGAATAGTTTCACTGCCCTAAAAATCCTCTGTATTTCACTTGTTAATCTCTCCTTTCCCTCTGCCTGAACCTTTACCATTGATCTGTTGATAGAAACCATTGATCTTTTTACTGCCGCCATAGTTTTGCCATTCCACAATGTCATATAGTTGGAATTATATAGCATGTAGCTGTTAAAACGTGCACTCTGAATGAAGAGACCCCTGCCAAACAGACTTTGTGTGAGCAACACGGCTGTTTATTCACCCAGGCATGGGCAGGCTGAGTTGGAAGAGTCAGCAGAGTGCGGTGGGGCAGGCTTTGGTTTTATAGGTTAGGGCTAGGCAGTGGAAAGTTACAGATGTTACAGTGTAGGGTGGTTTTTTGCAAGCTGGGAGGGGGTCACAGGGCCTATAGTCATGAGGTTGACCAATGTCAGTTGCCAAGTGCAATGGCCTTGACAACTGAGGCAAGAATAAGAAACAACAGAAGCATATCTCAAGTTAGTTAGGCACCACAGGGGTTGATTGTTCTTCCGTTTTTCATGGCCTTCCAGTTATTTGAGGTTTTCTAATTCTGGAAGACCCCCCCAGCGGCTTTTGTGCAGGCCATGGCGTCATTAGCCTAAAAGATCTTACATTCCTGTATTTTTATATTAGTAATATAAAGGAAAAAGAAAGAAAGAGTGGAGGGCAGCAGAATATTAGGAAGGCCAACACAGAGGGGTGATGGGGGGATGTTTCTCAGGGCTTCTTCGAGCAGGATTGGGGGCAGTGCAGAAACCTAAAGACTGCTGGGAGATCTCAGAGCAAGGGGTGATATTGTGGGGTTGTTAGAAGGAGCATTTGTCATATTGACTGATTGGTTATCGCTTGTATATGATTTTGTAGGAATTGAGAGATTAATTGGAAAACACAGGGTCCAAATAAGAGAAGGAGAAAGATAGGTATCAGAGGACTAAGGATCAGAAGAAACCATGACTGCCAGTCGAGAGTGTCCAGCCAGTCCAGCCAGCTCCAGAATAACCGTTTGCCTGATTAGCAAGCTTTTGGGCTCTGACTTCTAATCTATTGATGGCATCATATATGAGCCTGGACTGGTTTACATAAAAACAACATTCTTCATTTAGGAACAGGCAAAGGCCTCCTTTTTCAGCAGTCAGTAAATCAAGACCTCTGCAGTTTGGGAGGGCAACTGCAGCTAGGGAATTCACTTTGGCTTGAAGAAGGGATAGTGACTGAGTTACTTCTGCAGTGCTAGCAGAGAAATCACTGGAGAGGCTATGGAAGGTGACCGCTGACGTGGTAAGGCCGGCTATGCCTGTGCCGAGTGCAGTAGTCATTCCTAACCCTACAAGTAAGGGGATCAGTGGAATGACCCGCTTGTGTCATGTCGGGACAACAAGGGGAACAGGGAGGCTTTTGTCTTTGTTGGCAAACTGAACTTTGGGAGTACAGAAAACTAGGGTACAAGTGCCTGTCCAGTTAGTAGGAAGGCAGATGTGAGTAGAAGAACCACAGAGGACAAAAATAATCCTTGGCTGACACAGAACTGGAAGTATAAACCGAAAGGGTGAGAAAGTGTTCTGAGGGGGTTGGGGCTTTGGACCCAAATGCCAAGGAAACCAGCAAGGGCTGAGCTGTTGTCAGGGCAGCAGCTACTGCCATGCATAGGCATGAGAGCCAGCCCCGGACTGCGAGTTAAGCTGTTTGGATAAAAAGGCTGTAGGCCATGGGCCTGGCTCCTGTGTAAGAATTCCAATGGCACGGCCTTTTATTTCGGCTGTGCAGAAAGAGAAGAGTTGAGAGGAGTTGGGGAATGCTAGCATAGGGGCTGTTTCTAAGGTCTTCTTTAAAGAGTTCAAGGAAGAGAGGGGGAAGGATTTGGAGTTCATGGATTCAGCTAAGTTTCCTTTTCTAAGTTTATGAAGTGGTTGGTTAGGAGGACAAAATCTGGTATCCAGAAGGGAAAGTATCCTGGGAAAGGGCTTGACGAAAGTAATGAGGAATATCTCAGAAACCTTGGGGAAGAATGGTCCAGGTTAACTGCTAGGACTGGTAGGTGTCAGGGTCAGTCCAAATAAAGGCGAAAAGAGGCTGAGAGGAGGGGTGTAAGGGGATGGTGAAAAAGGCATCCTCCAGGTCAAGAATGGAACAGTGAGTTGTGGAAGAGGGTATGGAAGATAGGAGGGTATAGGGGCTTGATACTATGGAATGGGTAGGGAATACAATCTGAAGAGGGGGAGGCCTTGGACTAGTCTGTGGGATTCGTCTGGCTTTTGGACAGCTAGGATGGGGAATTGTAAGGAGAGTTGGGAGGAATTAAAAGGCCATGTTGCAGTAAGTGAGGAATAACAGGCTTTAGGCCTTTAAGGCTTGTGCTGGGATGAGGCACTGGTGCTGGGCAGGATAAGGGTGGTTAGGTTTTAAGAGGATGATGAGGGGTGAGTGGCTTGTAGCAAGGGAGGGGAGGTGGTGTCCCGTACCCTAGGGTTAAGGTAGGAGGACGTAAGGGGAGCTTTTGAGGGAGATATGGGTTCCGGGAGGAGGGCAGCAATGAGGTGTGGCTGTAGCCCAGGAATAGTTAAGGAGACAGACAATTTTACTAGGATATCTCGGCCTAACAGGGGAATTGGACAAGTGGGAATGATTAGGAAAGAATGTGGAAAGGAGTGCTGGCCTAACTGACGCCAGATGGGAATTTTGAGAGGCCTGGAAGCCTGGCCATCAATTCCCACACCCGTAATAGAGGCCAAGGAGACAGGTCCTTGAAAAGAAGGCAGCATGGCTGCCGTACTGATTAAGAGAAGGATGGGCTTATCCTCCACCATTAGATTTGCCCAAAACTCAGTTTCCATGGTCTAGGTGACTTCTAAGGTGTTCTGGCAGTGTTAGTCTTCAGCTGCCAAGCCGAGGAGCAGCGGCATGAGTCAGACAGTCCGACTTTCAATGGGGACCCCGCACAGTTGGGGCAGGGCTTAGAAGGAATCCTGGGCTGAGGGAATTCCTCGGCCCAGTGGCCAGGTTTCTGACACTTAAAGCAAGGTCCAGGAGGGGTAGCTGGATGCTGCAGTCTGGGCGCTTTGAAGTGTTTGTGAGCCGGTGGTATGGCTGGGGTTTGCCTAACAACAGAGGTAAGCATCTGTAGTTCTGAGATGCGCTGCTGCTGGGCAGCTTCTTCCCTATTATTGAACACCTTGAGGGAAAGGTTGATTAATTCCTGTTGTGAGGTTTGAGGGCCAGATTCTAATTTCTGTATCTTTTTTAATGTTAGGGGCTGGTTGGGTGATAAAATGCGTATTAAGCGTTCATTAGGGCTGAGAGCAGGATGACTTTTAAGGCACTCCAGTTGAGATTATAGGACTGGGTTAAGTATTGGAACTCTTGTATATATTTAGTGGGATTTGATGAAAAGGAGCCTAATTGTTGGCTGATTTGGGAAATGTTGGATAAAGAGAAATGAATGTGCACCTTAACTATGCCTTCAGCTCCAGCCACCTCTCGAAGGGGGAATTGTTGGGCAGGGATGGAGGAGGTAGCCAGGGTACTAAACTGCAACCCAGACCAGGTATGAGGCAGGGAGGTGACAGGAGGGGCCCGAGGAGGTGGGTTGCAGGCAGAGGAAGAGGAGGGAGACTCTGGATTTGGGGGAGCAGTTAGGGCCTGGATTAGGGTCTGGTTCAGATAGGCAGAGAGGAGAAAGGTGGACGGGTCGATGGACAAGGAGGATTCTGGGTTGCTTGCAGAGGCAGGAGGGGTGGCGGAAGGGAGAGAAGGAAAATTTGAGCTGCATTGCATTGACAGCAGGGATTAGGGAGGGATTGGAATGTAAAAAATAAAAATGCCTGGACATAGGGAATGTCAGACCATTTGCCCATTTTATGACAGACGTTGTCAAGATCCTGCAGGATAGAAAAATTGAAAGTACAGTTTTCTGGCCATTTAGGGCCATTGTCCAATTTATATTGTGGCCAAGTGGCATTGCAGAAGGAAATACGATGCTTAGATTTTGGGTCATGCAGTAGCTAGAGAGAGGGGTATGAGACTTTTTAGAACCAGGCTAAGGGAGAGGAGGGAAGAATGGAGGGCAGGAGATTGCCCACAGCTTAAGAAGAGTGGCAAAGACAAGGAAAGTGAATGTGTGACCAAGCAGTTTAACAGGTGTCCCAGGCTAAACCTTGGCTGAACCTGGGGTGAATCAGTCAAAGGAGGTGTCCCCTGTGTTGATCCGTCACCTATGAGTGCGAGTGAGTGACCAGAGCAGATGTCTCTGCAATGATCAGCCACCAAGGGAAGACTGTCTTTCTGGTTCTGTGACCTATGCAGGATTTTTTTCCAGTCTTGAACGTCACGGAAAGTCCTGTCTTTCTTGTCTCCACTGAAAGGGAGAGGAAAATGAAACAGAAAGAAGGAGGGTGACAGGTTAGCGAGAAGGACTAAAGAAGAGAGTTGAGGCAAACTGCTTACCTGATCTGAGGTTGGTGAGTGGATTCGTGGGCTGGTCTGATGAGCCTAGGTCATAGGTAGGTCTCTTCACGGGGACAGGGGTGTGGTCTCCCCAAAGGAGCACCTCTGTCCCAGGTTTTTGGCACCAAATGTTAAAACATGCACTCTGAATGAAGAGACCCCTCAAACAAGATTTGTGTGAGCAACATGGCTGTTTACTCACCTGGGTATGGGCGGGGTGTGGGCGGGCTGTATCTGAAAAGAGAGTCAGTGGAGGGTGGTGGGATAGGATTTGATTTTATAGGTTGGGGTAGGCATGGGAAGATACAGAAGTTTCAGTATAGGATAAATTTTTGCAAGCTGAGAGGGGGTCATAGGTTTGCAATCTGGGAGGGGATCGTAGGGTCTGGAGTCACAAGGTTGACCCATGTCAGTTACAAAGTCCCATGGTCTTGACAATTGAGGCTGGAATAAGAAACAATAGGAGAATGTCTCAAGTTAGGCACCGCAGGGGTTGATCATTCTTCTGCTTTTCATGGCCTTCCAGTTACTTCAGGTTTTTTACTTCCAGAAGGCCCTCCAGAGGTGTACGTGTGGGCCATGGCACCATCAGCCTATAAGACCTTACAGGCACCTGCCACCATGCCCAGCTAAGTTGTGTATTTTTAGTAGAGACAGGGTTTTACCATGTTGATCAGACTGGTCTCAAACTCCTGACCTTGTGATTCTTGTCTCAGCCTCCCAAAGTGCTGGGATTACAGGCATGAGCCATTGTACCTGGCTAATCCTTAAAGTTTTTATGATTTATTTGAATATAATTTATTTTTATAGACACCAATTAATTTATATGCACATTTAAAAACATTAATCAGAACATAAAATCCAGACTAGAAAATGAAACTAGCAGCATTCATATTATCATTTCAGTTAATTAGATACCTACCCATCCACTGTGGTGTCAAGTTAATTATAGGAAAGTCTACAAAAATATTTATGGGGTTGTAAAAAGTTAAGAGACTAATAAACTTAATATAGCTAGAAATTTCTGACAGCATATATCTGTTAAGACTATAGAAAATATTTACTCTATATGTGTGTTTTGTGTGTGGGTTTGTATTCAGTCTTAAATCAGTTATTGCAATAAAAGTCACCTTTACAAAACAAGTTTCAAGTCTAAGCAATGTTTTATATAGCAAACTTTCAATATTTTGTAGCCTTTGGCTTGCTCGGGAAGTTCATATGCAGAACATTTTACCTATACAGGTATTGATCGACTTACCACCTATGCAACTTATGACCATTCGACTTTACGACCACAATCGCTAGCCACAACTGCTCCGTGCCTGGCAGCGCAAATGTTGCCCAGCTGGGCATACGACAGTGCAGACCAGCTTCCGGCAGCACTACCATCTCCACTTGCATCATTTCAACTGTACATATAGCCTACTCAACTTACGACCAAATCATGTTACGACCAGTCTGCGGTCCCGACCGTTATCGTAAGTCGAGCACTAGCTGTATTGGAAATCTTATATTTAAATCAATTCACTTGTGAAATAGCTACTTATTGATTTTTTTTAGGTTGACAAAAGTAATAATTTATACTGACTACAAGCTCAGGACGCTTCCCTTCCATTACCTCTTATTCTCTTAAAGTTCACATGCAGTAGGTGGTACAAATGGTGGTGTACCTACTTCATCCATAATGAAATAAAAGAAGAAGAACCATAACTAAATTGCCCAAGTTTAGACTAGTAGCCATCAGAATTAAACACAAGTAATGTGATTCCAAGGGGAATGTTTCTCTATAATACCATATCCAGAGATGAAGAAAGAATAAAGAAGGGCTGGGCATGGCACGTCACACCTTTAATCCCAGTACTTTGGGAGGCCAAGGTGGGTAGATCACCTGAAGTCAGGAATCTGAGACCAGCCTGGGCAACATGGTCAAACCCTGTCTCTACTAAAAATACAAAATTAGCCGGGCATGGTGGCACGTGCCTGTAGTCCCAGCTATTTGGGAGGCTGAGGCTGAACAATTGCTTGAACCCAGGAAGTGGAGGTTACAGTGAGCCAAGATCATGTCGTTGCACTCTAGCCTCAGCAACAAGAGCAAAACTCAATCTCAAAAAATTAATTAATTAAGAAAACTCTGGGATGGGCACTGTGACTCATGCCTACAATCTCATCACTTTGGGAGGCTGAGGCAGTTGGATTGCTTGAAGTCAGGAGTTCAAGACCAGCCTGACCAACACAGTGAAACCCCATCCCTACTAAAAATACAAAAACGCAATTAGCTGGGCATGGTGTTGGGCATCTGTAATCCTAGCTACTTGGAAGGCTGAGGCAGGAGAATTTCTTGAACCTAGTAGGCGAAGGTTGCAGTTAGCTGAGATTATGCCACTGCACTCCAGCCTGGGTGACAGAGTGAGACTCTGAAGGTAGAAAGTCTTTTAAAATTTTTGCTTTTTTGTTTTGGCCAGTTTCTCCCATTTGGAATGATGGTATTTACCCAATACCTATGCTCTTATTGTATCTAGGAAGTAGCTAGCCTTAGCTTGCTTTGGATTTTACAGGCTCATAGGTGGGAAAGACTTGGCTTGACTCAGATGAGACTTTGTGCTGTGGACTTTGGGTTAATGCTGAAATGAGTTAAGACTTTGGAGGACTGTTGTGAAGGCATGATTGGTTTTGAAATGTGAGAAGATGAGATTTGGAGGGTCCAGAGTGGAATGGTATGGTTTGGCTGTGTCCCTACCAAAATCTCAATTTTAATTGTATCTCCCAGAATTCCCACCTGCTGTGGAACGGACCCAGGGCTAGGCAATTGAATCATGGGGGCAGGTCTTTTCCATACTATTCTTGTGATCATGAGTTAATCTCCCAAGATCTGGTGGGAAACAACCTTCACGATTCAATTATCTTCCATTGGATCCCTCCCACAATACATAGGAATTATAAGAGCTACAATTCAAGATGAGATTTGACTGGGGACACAGCCAAACCATATCAGAGAAATATGCTGCAATGTCATAGGGATTATGTAATCATGTTGAGTCAACACCTTTAGTAAAAAATTCTCACATTATTAGAGAGATGGCACTATATATACATAAAAGCTTCCAAAAAGTCAAATTGTTGAATTTTTACTTATCTCTTTCATGTCAAAGATAACATTTTATCATGTGACTAATTTAGAATAATATGTTGAATCCCTAAATATTAAGTACCTACATATATATGATGTACATACATATATATGGTGTGTGTGTGTGTGTGTGTGTGTGTATATATATATATATATATATATATATATATATATATATATGTGATGCTACATAGTGTTCTATCAGTGCTAGAACTTAACCTGTCAGTTCTTATCCAGTTGGGTGTATAATAAATTAAATTTCTTTTGTATGCTATAATTCATTAGGGTTCTGCTAGATCATTTTACCTTTCTGTCACTCATATAAAGGATATTAATATCATACTGCTGAACAGTTGAATGAAAGCGAGCTGAACCCACAATAAACCTGAGCTGATTATGATCAGGAGAGTAGAGATTAGTCCCTATTTATCTTCTGATAGGACCAAGAGAAAATAGACAGCTTTTGATTGGCCTTGCTGATAAATAAGGAGCAGTGGCATCCATGCTGGACTCCCAAGCAGCAGCAGTCCATAGGCAGCCCTCAGTGCTGCCCTTCCACTAACCTAGGCTTACATCCTTCATGGTTGGTGTGCCTGTTCTGTCAATCCCAGTCCTGGATTATCCCAACCTTGTTTTCTTCCACTTCTGATCTGGCTCCCAGATGGTATTAGACCAAATACAGAGATTACTGTCTAAACTTGAACTAGATTCTTTTCTACTCCTGTACAATTATTTTATATGTTATCTGCTAATTTCACTCTGTAGTGATTTCCCAGAACAACTTCTTCTTGAGTCTCTGGTCTTACTTTCATGTTAGACCTCTGTCTCAGCTAATGCCTTTAAAATCCATCTGGAGAAAATTTCCAAATTTCTCTCACTTCTATCCATCATCATTCCATTTCTATATCTATATTTACCTTTTCCCTTTGGACAGAGAAAGATTCCTCATCTTGTTTAAAGCTATCTCACTTGGAATAAATATGAATTTATTCCTCTCTCCCTTTTTAGATAATTTGTTTTCTCATAATTTCTTTCATTTTCATTAGTAAAGCTTTTCCCCATTGTCATGCAGAGGTCTCACCTAACTTAGTAGCAACAGTGAAACTCCTCACTTACTTTACCTGCTTTTTCTATTTAACTATCTCATTTTATTACAAAATGCCTTACATATCTACATGGTAGAGCTTATTGGACCTGGGCCATAGGACTAAAGCTTGACAAACCTAAGTTTAAGAACTTATACCATCAATGTTGTTATCTTTGTAAATAGTTTTTGAGAGGAAAAAACTATTTTTTGTGATTTTTTTGTATCTTTGTGAATAGTTTTGAGAGGGAAATTTTATGAGTAAAAGTGGCAAAAGAAGAGAAGAAAGAATAAAATGTTTACATGTGTAAACATACACATATAAACAGGTACATATTTATATACATATAAACGCTTTCTTCCTCTTTCTCTTCTTCTTAATCTTTTTTCCTCTTCCTAATCTCTCTTGTTCATAAGAAGCAATATATAAATGCTCATTAATCCATTAATTGGCATCCAAACACTACACAGCTTTTTCTTAATTGGACAATGTGGCTGGTAGTTAGAAGAAAATGACTCTAAGAAGAGAAAGCCCAACTCCTACTCTAGCCAGATGGTATAGCAATGAGGTGATGGGTTCCTTTTTTCCTGGGTGGAAGAAAGGACTCCATATATGAATATGATGCAAAGCAAATAATCTACAGGTGACTGAAACATGACATCACAGTGGGCCTATAAAGCCACGTATACAGTTTGCTCAATGGGGTAAAGTCTTTATTAATAAAATTATAACTTAATAAATATCATAACATTGTTTTATTACCCTATTGCTTATCATTTACTGATGGTATCTGGAACATGGAATTTGACATAATTTATGAGCACTTAATATACGTCCGACAAAAACAACAGTACAAGAAAGAAAATGACGAAATAACACTGGCATGATGCCAACGACAGGGGAATTTATTATCCAAGTCAGTAAGTCATTTCTCTTTATCTATAGGACCCGAACCGAGATAATATTCAGGTTCACAGATAGATGCAACATTTACCATTTTATCCAAAGTGGGAAATGTGAGTAAAATTGTCAAAAGATTTAAACAAAAACTGCATTATAAAAATTGCCACTCAACTTAGAGCGTTAGTCCTATAAAATGAAGTAACTTGTGCAAGCACTAAAAACGTAGAAGCCTGTTGATATTTTTCTCATCCCTTACTGCAAATTTAAAAGTGAAATATTCAAACATGCAAATAACAACAGTAAGTAAGTTCCAATATTTGCTAGTCAGTTTCTAGCTTACAGTAAACTGTAGAGACCCTACTAACTGAATAACTTGGAATGGACTAGTTTCCTGCTGTACCAACATGGGCCTTGTTAGTGACTATTCACAATAATGGGGAATATATTTTTCTGTTAGATTTATGTTTTTAAATATGTGCTGTATGCCAGACACTGAGCTATATCCTAGGGATATACTCAAATAAGGCAGGAGCTGCCCGTGAAGATTTACAATGGCACAGAATATGAAAAGAGTGTTTTTCAGTTTCAGACTTAGGCACTGTTATATACATATACATTTAAAATATTATTTCATTTAAATTATTCATCACATCATTTCCCTCCATTGGTGAAGAAAATTAATCAAAGAGATTAAGGAAGAGAGGAAGAGTTAGATGTAAAAACAGATTTTATTAGATATGACTTAAAAATTATTAAAATATTGATTTACTCATCATTAAAAATATCGGTCTTTCCAGGAAATCCAAAGTCCTGCCTGTAACAAAGGAATTGCCTCATCTGTCAGTCGATTGCACTCAACTCATTGAGAACATGTGCCAACCATATCACCATGCACATCAATCAATTAATCAACTAAAAAGTATTTGTACGGTGCATACAATGTGGGCAAATGCAAAACTGTCTTTTTTATTGGCATTATTGAAAGGATTTGAATTTTCAAAATGGAAAGTTACCAAAATGTAACCCTTTGTTGGAATGTTAGCTGTCAGCCATTATGAAACAAATATAGCACAAGAGCTAGACAAACCATACTGTTACCATAATCTCCATTAAAAGCAAAATGATAGTTCCTTCAGCATTGAATAATTACCTTACATGACTTATATTCAGCAGACTCCAATCACCGATAC